TACCTCAACATAATAAAAGACATATATGACAAATCTACAGCCAACATCATACTCAATGGGCAAAAACTAAAACCATTTCCCCTAAGAACAGGAATAAGACAGGGATGCCTACTCTCACTACTCCTGTTTGACCTAGTACTGGAAGTGCTAGCAATAGCAATGAGACAAGAAGAAGAAGGGAAAGGCATTCAAATTGGAAAAGAAGAAGTAAAACTGTCCTTATTTGCAGATGACATGATATTGTACATAGAAAACCCCAAAGACTCCATCAAAAACTACTAGACTTAATAAATGAATTTGGTAATGTAGCAGGATACAACATTAACACCCAGAGTCTATAGCTTTTCTTTATACCAATAACGAACTCACAGAAAGAGAAATTTAAAAAATCCCATTTACTATTGCACCAAAAAAAAATTAAGATACCTAGGAATAAATTTAACCAAGGAGAGAAAGGACCTGGACTCAGAAAATTACAGGACGCTGAAAAAAGAGATAGAGGAAGACATATACAAATGGAAGATTATACCATGTTCATGGACTGGTAGAATCAACATCATTAAAATGTCCATACTGTGCAAAGCAATCTATAAATTCAATGCAATCCCCATTAAAATAAATACCAATGGCATACTTCAAAGACCTAGAACAAACTCTCCAAAAATTCATCTGGAATAAAAAAGACCCCAAATAGCTGCAGCAATCCTGAGAAAGAACAAAGTTGGAGGGATCACAATACCAGATATCAAGCTATACTACAAAGCCACTGGTCTCAAAACTGCCTGATAGTGGCACAAGAACAGACATATAGATCAGTGGAACAGAACAGAGAACCCAGAAATCGACCCAAGCGATTACGCTCAATTAATATTTGACAAAGGAGGCAAGAGCACACAATGGAGCCAAGACAGTCTCTTCAATAAATGGTGTTGGGAAAATTGGACAGATACATGTAAAGAAATGAAACTAGACCACCAACTTACACCATACACAAAAATAAACTCCAAATGGACAAAAGACTTAAACGTAACATGGGAAACCACAAAAATCTTAGAAAAAGCCATAGGCAGCAAAACAGCAGACATTTGTCGTAGCAATATCTTTACCGATACAGCTCCCAGGGCAATGGAAACTAAGGAGAAAATAAACAAATGGGACTACATCAAAATAAAAAGCTTGTGTACAGCAAAAGAAACCATCAACAAAACAACAAGAAAGCCCACCGCATGGGAGAACATATTTGCCAATGTTATCTCCGATAAAGGTTTAATCTCAAAATTTACAGGGAACTCATACAATTTAACAAAAGAAGATAAACAATCCAATCAAAAAATGGGCAAAGGACCTAAACAGACACTTTTCGAAAGAGGACATACAGAAAGCCAAGAGACATATGAAAACATGCTCAAAGTCACTAATCATCCGAGAGATGCAAATCAAAACAACGATGAAGTACCATCTCACACCTGCCAGAATGGCTATCATCAACAAACCATCAAACGACAAGTGCTGGAGAAGATGCAGAGAAAAAGGAACCCTCCTTCACTGCTGGTGAGAATGCAGACTGGTGCAGCCACTGTGGAAAACAGTATGGCGTTTCCTCAAAAAATTAAAAATGGAAATGCCATTTGACCCAGTAATACCACTTCTAGGCCTATATCCCAAGAAAACAGAAACACCAATCAGAAAGGATATATGCACTCCTATATTCATAGCAGCACAATTTACAATAGCTAATTTGGAAACAGCCTAAATGTCCATCAGCAGATGAGTGGATTAGAAAACTGAGGTACATCTGCACAATGGAATACTACGCTGCTGTAATAAAGAAGGAACTCTTACCATTTGCAACAGCATGGATGGAACTGGACAGCATTATGCTAAGCAAAATAAGCCAGTCAGTGAAAGGTAAATACCACATGATCTCACTCATTTGTGGAATATAAAGAACATTATAATCTGATGAGCAAAAATAGATACAGAGGCAAAGAAGCATCGAACAGACTGTCAAACTACAGTGGGAAGGAAGGGGAGGGTGGGGGTGGGTAAGAGATCAACCAAAGGACTTGTATGCATGCATATAAGCATAACCAATGGACACAAGACACTGGAAGGGGGTGAGGGCATGTGCTGAGGGGTAGGGGAGACCAGGGGGAGGTCAATAGGGAAAAAAGGAGACATATGTACTACTATTTGTAATACTTTAAACAATAAAAAAAGATATGAAGTAGGAGTTAGGTTGGGGGCAAGGAAGAGTTGGGCAGAGTCCCAGGTAGAAAGAACCATTTATACAGTAGTCCAATGATGAGAAAAGCTTGGTGAGTAAGATCAGAGAAAAGAACACAGTGATTATAACAGGAGTAGTAAGAGGGAGGCTGAGGTTTAATCAGAGTCAGCACCAGACCTTCTGTACCAAGGAAAGAGTTTGTTTCTTAACTAACAGAAGAGAAAGCTACTGAAGGGTTTAAGTGCAGGTAACACAATCAGCTTTATATTTTCATAAGATGATACTGACTGCTCTACGGGGTGGTGGTAAGGAGCAGACTTGGTAATTGGTTGGATATGGGAGACCAGATAGAAAGAATTGTGAAAGATGACATTCAGGTATCCAGTATGATCACCAGGGAGGATTGTAGTATCATTTACAGATTGTAGTATCATTAGCAGACAGATCAAGAGTTTAATTTTATTAAGTGTACAACAGCGCTCAATAAATAGTGACAATTATTGTTTTGTGGTTGTTTTTACTGATGATTGAAAACCACTTGCTGTGATTAGGGATAATGGTGATTTTTCAGGTGTTGCTCCCACTGTGTACACAGGTACTTTGGACTTGACATTTGCGAAGGGAAGTCACCTATGGGACTAAGAATGCAACTGAACCTCAACATGAAAAAACCTTTTTTTACCTTCAATCTGACTTCTAGGATAGCTTAATATAACACATGGATAAACAGAATTCTTTTTTCTTGAATTCCCTTCTTTTTCCAAGAATCAAGAAAGTTTAGATATGATATTATGACCATGCCAACTGGTCTATCCAGGGCTAATGTATGTTTGAGGCATCAATGTTGTATGGGGAGATCAAAAGTATAAAATTAGCCTTAATTGGCCTAGGCTAAATAATGAATGAGCAAAGACAGCTCAAAGGATTTTCCTATAAGTTGGGTAAGGGGATAGTAAGCAAAGAAATCAAGAGGTGTACTTAGATCTTTGATCTTACAGAAAGTATTTCATACTTTATTTTATGACATAGATTCTTATTCATATTTTCACCTCATTTAATAATCTGTCATACTTACAAATACTGTTTACACATAGTGGGGAAAAAAACTGCCTATTAGAATTATTAGTTAGCAGTATCAACTATATAAGGCTATTTTCATTTTCATTCCGGTGAGCCAGCGCTGCCTGTACAAGCATATGAGAAGGCTGCTAAGTCTTCACACCTGGCTCATGACCACTGCCTTTGTTCCCTAGAGATGCCAGGAAAGCAAAGGCCAAGCATCAGGAGTGACCACATGCTGGTAATGAGAACGCTTATTATCATTATCCTGATCATTCTATTAAATAAGTCCTGAAGCATATGAGGTGGATGGCAAATGTATGAAATATAGCAGAAGGTATGTCTATTTCAGAAGTTTTGAGCCCTGAGTTGAGAAATTTTACAATACTTAATCTACACACCAACTGGGCATTCTGCAACCAGGCGTCTATAAAAGAACTAAGGAGAAAGAGGAACTAAGGGCACCATCAAGTCTCACACCTAAACAACTGGCATCATTTAAACACAAGCACCATTAATGAACATCAGACAAACACACAGATCAGCATACATAGAGATTTTAAAGAAGAGGAATAGTTTAACCTACATTCTGAATGCTTAACATATACTTTATTTATATTAGAATATTTAGAGAGGTCCTTGAAGTATATTTTTAAACTTATATCTTTAATAGTATATTTATTAAACTAGGAAATGCATCTAATACACTTATTTTCACTTTTTAAATTTAAATAAGCACATATATGGAACTTCTTTATTGCTGTGGGTAATCTGTAATGTTGTCTTACCTGGTATAATCCTGCAAGACCTCAAGTACCCCAATTCAACACAACAAAATGAGCCGTACTGAATCATTTGAGCATTTGCATTTATTCCTAATTATATTAACAAACCCTTGTTTATAGTAACTTCAGAGTTTTAGCTTTTAGACATTTGTTGGAAATAAGCCATTTTGCTTGCTATCTAAAAATTCTAAAGAGGAGAGTTTTTTCTTCACATCTAGTCAGAAGCAAGGCTCTGAAAATCTGACTATTCAAACCAGATCTCTACCACTTAGCTATGTAATAATCTAATCTGTGTCTTAGCTTCCAACTTGAATCTCAGCTGCTCATCCGTAAAACAGGACAAAGTAGTACCTAACTTAAAGACTTGTTGTGTTAAATGCTTTGTTGCATAGAAAAAACTTAGAACTGTGCCTGGCACATATAAGTGCCCCAAAATGTCAGCTATCATCATCATCACCATCATCATCATCATCATCTTCATCACTTTTGGATACTGGGAAAAAGAGTCTACAAAATACATACTGGGAAAAAGAGTCTACAAAATACATTTAACCTTTTCCCTCTGCATTATTAGTCCTTAGTTTTATCAGAAACATCAACCTTTCTTATTTTCCATTCAATTAGATTTTTTTTTTTAGTCCAGTGATTCTCAAACTTTTCTTTTACATAGGTACCATTATATCAAATTCAAACATTCCAGGAACTTGCACATGACATAATTCATAATTTTAGAATCCTCTGATTAAGAAAATACATATGAACAGAGGAATTTAAGGACCCCCCTGAAACAAATCCACAGCCCATCAGGGTCTAAGGCTTATTGGTTAGGAACCATAGCTTTAATCAATAATGAATATTTTTAGATTATAATGTAATTCAGGTTCTTTTTAAAAAACCTCGTGGGTTATAGTTCTTTCAGCTTCTCTTACCTCGCCCATGACTGCTATGGGTGTTTCTCCTGTTGCCTGAGCAACACGATGTTCTACTAAGTAGAACATATACTCGTCGTAGAGTAGACGGATCAGGTGGAAGGAGCCAAAGCTAGCAGCACTGCGTAAGGTTAAGTCTCGAATAACCATTGAGCTGTTCCAAGAGAAAAGACAGATGCAGCCAATATTAGTGGCGAGGATTAGAGTTCAACCTACTTTTTCTCTTAAAAGAAGAAGTTGGAGGTCTGAAAGATCGGTATGGCACACAACCTGCCATGCAATAATTTCATGATTAAAAGCTGCTCAACTCTTTGAAGCAGGGTGGTAAAAGAGGTAATCCTCCCTGACACTTGCTTAGGTCTTTATTAGAGCTAGACAGGTTTTTATGGGAAAAGCCATTTTACTATCATAGGCAAGTCTGATTATTCCACTGAACTCTCATATGGGTCAGAATTGAATATAAAATAGATTTGAAAAGTTGACAACTCATCACCACCGTAAGAAAAAGCAACTCAAAGTGAAAATCTTATTGATGGGTAAACATTGTGCTTCCACCTCTCAATGACAGTGACTTTGATGTACGCGTTGGGAAAAGAGGTACTTGTGCCGTACAAAGGTTACGAAACCTAAGCAATGTTCCAGATGTGGCAAAGTAGAATGTAGATGATCTTTACACTGATCTGTGCAAATTGGGGTGGAAGGCAAATTTATTGTGATTCCAGTTTCTTACTGAATTAAGGTGATTTTCCATGAGAAGTGTAATAAAATCAATGAAGAAACGCATGACTTTGAGAAATGTGAACTTTTTATTTATAAAATATAAAACCAAAATATGAACAATATTAATAAAACTAGAGGCCCGATGCATGAAATTTGTGCAAGAGTAGGCCTTCCCCCGGCTGCCGGCACCAGCTTCCCTTTGGTACCCAGGACCCAGGACCTGGGCTTCCCTCGCAGCCCTGGCTTCATCCGGAAGGTTGTCAGGAAGGATGTCTGGTCTAATTAGCATATTATGCTTTTATTATTATTAATACTAACAATAAACTTGATATTTAAATTGTAAATGAGTTTAAGATAAGCCAATCATTGGCTTGTCCATGCACTTCAAACTTCTTTAATATTTCTAATTAGAGTCAGGATGGAGTATGTGTGGGGTGTCGTGGTGTGTGTGTATGTGTGTGTTTATTGATTTTAGAGAAAGGAAGGGACAGAGGGAGGGAGAGAAAGAGACAGAGAGATATAGACAGACATAGAGATAGATTGGTTGCTTTCAGTGTGTGCCCCAACAGGGGATCAAACCCTCAACCCAGGTATGTGCCCTGACCGGGAATCGAACTGGCAACCTCCTTTTGGTGAAGAGGACGATGCTCCAATCAACTGAGCCACCCAGTCAGGGCAATACCTAGCTATCTTTTAAACAATACTGATAAGCATGCCATGAAATTATTGTCACATGTTTAGAACAGAATCAGTTGAGTTATATTATTAATGCCATGTCTACTTTATTCTCTCTGTGTTCGGCCTCTGCCCTACAAACCAAGTATTAAATGACACAATTAACAGTTTAATTAGAAACCTATTGTTTGACTCAGACTTCTACAAGACATGTTGCAAAATTGATTCCACTGAACTTCATGTTGCTAAGTTACCACAAATTCAACTCATTAAAAAATCATTAATAAATGTTAATTATTTTATAATGGCGAGAGATACCTTTGTGTATTTATCTTTATAATTCATGGTGTGGAAATGGAAACATTTACTCTAACACATGATACTCAATCCACCTCTTTGTGTATTTGGGGATATAACACACCCTTCCTAAGAAGAAAGGTGAGAACATCACAACTGTGACCCCCTTGGGAACTCTCTTTTCTTCTAAAAATTTTATTTTTATTGATTTTATAGAGAGATGAAGGGAGGAAGGCAGGAAGGGAGAGATGGATGGAGGGAACGGGGGCGGGGAGAAGAGAGAGAAAGAGGGGGGAGAGAGAGAGAAACATCAATTTGTTGTTCCGCTTTTTAATGCATTCATTGGTTGCTTCTTGTATATGCCCTGACTGGGGCTCAAACCCACAACCTTGGTGTATCAGGATGGCCCTCTAATAAATTGAGCTACCTAGTCAGGGCCTGGACTGTTTTTTCAACAGTGATTACAGTTGATTCCAACAGAGTGCTACTTTATGTAAGATTTATATATTGTCCAGTTGTAGTAAAGCTAGGTTCCCTGTGCCCCCTTTCAAATCACTATAAAAGCTATACATTTAATTCCTTAAAAATGGGATATTTGGTTATCCTGAGTAATGCTGTGTTCTGTTATCCACAAAACACACAAGCTGAGAAATGGCCCACATAACTTCATTTCTGCCCAAGAAAGACGGTGATTATTTTTTCTCCACCTCCCAGGGAGCTAACAGTAGCCATTTAAAGCCAGGTTAGGCAAGGAGAGATCCCCTATCCAGAAAAGAGGGTGTTTGCAGCCATTCATCAACTGCCAGCTGATATCATGATTGCCTGCCAGTCCATTTCTATATTCGTATGCATGTAAATAGACACACAGAATTTTAGAAATTGTAAGATTATCTGGCTTCAGAAATTGGGAGTCTGTATAAGTGACTGCCAAATTCTTATTACAATGCCAAAAACTTAAAAAAAATACCTGCAATTCTGTTTCTCTGATAGTTTGTGAATGCAGTGTTCATTACTCAATATGTTCTAATGCCTTAGTAAAAAGCAGTTCAGATTCTAAAGGCTTTTAGGTTTTTAAGCTATTGACTTTGCCTACCAGCAGGAGGTATGCATCTGTCAGAATATGCCTTCCCTTCTGTGGCCTTGCACTATACGCCTTCAAGTCTTTTTGAAATGAAAATAATAACCATAATAGTGCCTAATAATAACAAGCCAATTATCCCCAACTCAGGGAGGACAGAGGGCAGGCAAGTGATGATCTGGGTTTGTGTATCTGTGAGAACAAAAATACAAGTAAGTAATTTTCTCTTTTCAACATACCTGCAACACATCTCTCTGGAGACAAAGGCTCCAGGGGTATATTTCTAAAATGCTATCAACTAAATATAGTAAAAATAAAAACCTCCAGGAAGAAGTAAGGGCAGGCCTGACACAACATCATCAGAAAGCAGTGAAAAGGGAAAAAAAACCTTGCTTTTTCTGATGTAGAGGATGTACTCTGCTTTTGGTCATTTGGGTTTTGGAATAATCAGCTAGTAGAACTTCTGTTTCATCAATCATTCATATAGCATCTAGCACATATAGCACATATAGCATCTATTTAATTTTCTGGAGAAAAATGGATGAATAACAAATCAACTTGCAAGAAAATAGAAAAATACATGAAATCTTAAGAAATATTCCCAAATTAAAAATTTGATTTCTAAATTACTGCTACTTTGAGAACACTGTGACACTGTTTTCTAAATCTTCCCCATATATCCAGAGGAGATTCTAAATCAAGCATAGGCTTTTCTGAAGCATACCAGTGGGACACCGTCAGACAGCATCTTCATAAGGTGCTTCTCAAATCATGTGGGCCACAGGTATTAGGTATGAGAGACAGATCTGTGGAATTATTTCATTCCAAAACCAAAAACAAAATAACATGAAACTGGCAAGCTTTCTTTCACTGCATTTGAACCTTTGCTAGACACTATTCTTACATCCTGAAAATAAGTTTTCTAATTTAACCCTTAACTGAACATATATAGTACATCTGCAGCTCTACTTTAAGAAATAAGAATTGGACCAAATCGGCTAAGAAAGCAAGTCACTTACAATAAAAACCAAAGCAACTACCATCGTAATGAAAAGATATCTTTATAAGGGTGATCAAAACAAGATGAAATTCCATAGTCTGGGCTTACTGGGTTCATGAGCCCTACTAGTTCCTAAACTCTGTTACTTCTTCATAGACCTCCTCTCCTCACAGCCAGCTTTGGACTCACAGCTGGTGTCGATAATAACCTCGGTGTACCCACAGCCACAGTCAGGGGTATATCCTGCAGTCACTACTTTCTGATACGATACTCGAATGGCTGTATAGGATCAAAATTAGGAACCTGCCCAAACCTCAAAGTATATATGGTTTTTAGGCCTAAGTCAATGGGGTTACCTTTATCTAAAGAAGCAAAGAAATGAACCCACCTTAAGAACAAATGCCAGGGTCAAAAATATAGCTGATCTAACTTATGAAATGGAACTTCATCTGTCAATCCCATCCCAAGTATAAAAGGTATTATGCCATCTTAGGCTCTGTTTTAAACCCCTGGGGCAGACCTATGGTCAACAGCTTATACTGATATTTGATATCATATATCAAGTAATCTGAAAGCCTTTCTCTTCCAGGGTTCTTCTATGTCTACAAAAATATACATTTATATCAATATTATTTCAGTCAAAAAGTGATACATTTTGTACTGTCTACTAGATTATTGGATATTAAACTAGCTATGCATTAGAATCTCCAGAAATAAGCTTTTAAAGAAAGAATTTCTGATTTATTCCTCATCATTACTCCCTAACCATCAAGATTTTAATCTAGTAGGTTTGGGAGGTACGTAGATTTTTTTACACTAATTCTGAGGTTTGAAAACAGTTGTAATTTATCAATAAGAATTTAACTATATGGTTTTGAGCATGCATTAGAATAACCAGGACAATATTAAAAAATGCACAGATTGTTGGGCCTCACCTCTGCAGTTTCTGATTTAAAGAGATTTGGGGGAGGGGACCTGAGAATTTGTATTTCTAACATGTTCTGAGCCATAGTGATGCCACTGGTCTCTGAGAATCACTGAGGTAGAGAATAGAAAGAAGTGGTGGTAAGGCCTCAAGAAAGAAGCCTACATAATGTCTGTTTGCCAGAGGGAGGACTGTAGCCCCTTTCTTGCTGTTGCTAAACACATTCTCTAGACTGGAGTCTTGGGTGTTCCCATCTGAGAACTCTGGGCTCTGAGAAGAGGCTTTCTGCTCCTAGCAGACAGCTGAGTGTCATAAGCCTCCTGGTATAATTCCATAAAGTTGCAATCAATGAATTGAGTTTCTACAAATTAAAGTCTTCACTTATTTATTTTCTTTTGTCTGAGAAGTGTGTACATTACACACATATTTGTAGACTATGAAAAATAAAGCTTAGTGAAAATTGAGATGTACCTGTAGAAAGACCATTTTAGCAGAAACTGCCTGGCGGCTTTTGGAAAACTGGGCCTCCCTTCGTAGGGTTTCAGGGCTTGCATCATCACGTTGTCCAGCCATGCGGCCCACTGCTCCAGGGTGCTCTGCTGCTGGAGAGTCATCTTGAAGTCTGTTTCTAGTCTCTGAACCATGTTGTCATCACACTGGCACACCCAGGAAGCCTGCTCCTGGGACAGTACACACAAAGCAAAAGAAAAGTTCAACACAATATCTTTTCATTGAATGGCAGCACACAAACCATATGCACGAATGGGAAATTATTTAAATGAATTAAGAGAATGAATGACTACTTACCTGTCAGTTGTTAAGGAAACTAACATCACCTATGTGCATGAAAAAGGGATGTGACATAAAAGCAAGACTTGGCTTTTCTACATGACCTATTCTGTATGGAAGACAACTGCCTATTAACTGAAGAACAATCGAAGCCTGAACCTACAGGATGCAAGGTCTTTCACTCTATTCAGTTTTTATGCTGCCTTCCAAAGTGCTCTTTTCCCCCCGCTACCAATCAAATAAAACTTTAAAGCCAATTCATCTGAGAAGATTGAAGCAGTGGTTCTCAACCTTCCTAATGCCGCAACCCTTTAATACAGTTCCTCATGTGGTGGTGACCCCCAACCATAAAATTATTTTCGTTGCTACTTCATAACTGTAATTTTGCTACTGTTATGAATCGTAATGTAAATATCTGATATGCAGGATGTATTTTCATTGTTCGCGACCCACAGGTTGAGAACCGCTGATAGAGTAACTCAGATGGACAGATTCGATTGGCCAAAAGTGGTCTTTCAGGATGAAAACAGAAACAAACATTGAATAGTACTAGGTAGAAGCATGTGCTGTATGAGTTTTATAAATGGGAAGCCAATCTCCAGGGCAGTCAAGGAAAGGCTATGAATGCAAATTAATCTACAGAACTGAGAACAACAACAAAAATACTTTTGAGAAAATGTGGATATGCTAACTGCCAAGAAACAAATTCCTACAGCTTTCCTTCTGGTTATAACGGGGAAGTTTCATGTTTGGTGAGAGCAATGAAAACAGGAACTTTTAAGGCTACTTTTCAGTGGTTACCATAAGTTCTATAATGTTTCCAATGCCTTTTAAGATTACTAAAAGCACGTATATTCTCATGGTCAGAGTATAATTATTTCATAATATAATAATCGACTGAGAGAAAGATGACATGGATTTTATGTAGGGCCTGAATTGATTAAACTGGACCCAAGCAATTCATTTAATTTCAGTGGCCTCATTTTCCCCAAACATACAATTAGAGAAATGAAATGTGACAGTAATTTTTAAGGTGGGTTCATGTGTCCAGATAATATTTTCAAGATAGGTTTTTGTGGAGGGGAAACTGTAAAAGTCCTAATTCTATACCTAAAAATTGTGAATATGTGTGTATTCTTCTATAAAGTGTGTCTATAGCTTTCATTCTATCTACTCTCAAAGGACAAGTTCATTCAAATCAACAATTTCAACTAAATAAATCCCTAATCTGCACTCACTGGTTCCACCATTGCTCCTGATCCTATAAACTTCACCTATTCAAGAGACATTGCAACAGGGAGGTGCTTCAGAGACAAAATGCCAAACTTCATTCACTTTATTTCCCAGGGAAATCTATAGTTTCTTCTATATTTCCAGCTGATGATACCATCTACTACCTTTCTTTGTCTTATGTAATTACTCATAAACACTTTCAGATTTTACTTCCTAAATACCACTTTTAAATATTTTAAGTACATTAAAATGTGACAATAGAAAAATAACAAATACAAATAATAAAAAATATTAAGAATACCTAAATGCCAACATAAAGAGATAACTACAGCATGCTACTGTGTATACCTTTTCAATTTTTTCACATGTCATATGAATATGCATGCATGTATATGCATATATAAATATTTAAAATAGGATTATATGACACATTCTGCTAGATATTCTGCCTAGTTTCACTTAACTATATATGATAACCATCTTTCCACTTTGGCAAATATAGAGCTATATTTAATGTTCAATGATTAAATTTGCTTCAATGCATGAATATAGCATTGTTTACATAACCAATTCCATACAACTAGACATTTCTGTTCATTACAATTTTTTACTAGTAGGAATAATACCAGAATTAGCAATCTTGTAACTATATCATTGCTTTTTTTTGCACTTCTCTCTGTATGACAGAATAATAAAATAGTTATAATACTTCAAAATATACTGTCAAATAACTCCCAGAAATGATATATCAATTTAAGAGTTCAGGAGAATACCCAGGGAAGTATTGTGGCCATAAAGAAAAGACAGAGGAGGTTGTTTTTTTTTAATTAATGTCTAAACATTTTTTTGTTGTGGTAAAATAACACATAAAATTTATCATCTTAACATTTTTTAGTGTCTAGTATAGGAGTGTGAACTAATGTCCTTATTGTGCAATCTATCTTTAATATTTTTCATTTTGAAAAAAATGAAACTTTATACTCATTATAGGGGACATTATTTTTATGTGTTTGTGCACTGATAATTGAGAGGAGGAACTTATTGGTACTCCAGAAGAATTTCATTTAATTTCTTACTATAAATTCAAACTCACTAATTCCTTTAGTAGTTAATTTTTGCCATGAAAAAAAATAATCTAAAACCAAACTTAGAGAAGTAAAGTCGCAGGACATTATTGTGGCTTTTCAAACTACTTTATAATGTATTTCATTTTGCTACTCTCAAGACTAAAAATATAATAATGGTAGAGTATATTGTAAACATTCCCTTCTGAAAGGAATTTGGATATTTCAGTTCTATAGTCAGTAGTTTTAAAATCAGATTTAAAAAATCTTAATGGCCGAAACCGGTTTGGCTCAGTGGATAGAGCGTCGGCCTGCGGACTGAAAGGTCCCAGGTTCGATTCCGGTCAGGGGCATGTACTTGGGTTGCGGGCACCTCCCCAGTGGGAGATGTGCAGGAGGCAGCTGATCGATGTTTCTCTCTCATCGATGTTTCTAACTCTCTATCTCTCTACCTTCCTCTCTGTAAAAAATCAATAAAATATATTAAAAAAAAATCTTAATGTTGAGAGTATTACATGTGTCCTCTTACCCCCCATTGACCTCTTCTAGACCACCCCCACCTAGTGTCTGTGTCCATGGGTGTATGCATATATGCACAGAAGTTCTTTGGTTGATCTCTTCCCACTCACCCACCCACCCTTGCCTTCCCTCTGAGATTCCACAGTCTGTTCCATGCTTCTGAAATAAATATATGCAATAGTTAGGTTATTGGGTCAACCCACGGAAACCTACTTAGCCCACAATGTAGATGGAAAACTATCATTTACACACAAAATATTAGAAAATTATACCATTGTAATGCTTTCAATTAAATAAAACAAAAAACAATGATACTGCAATAGAAAAATTATCCTGAGGAAAAGAAGATTTAACTAGAGAATTATGAAGTGGTGAAAGATGTATGAATATCCAGAAAGAAACTTTTTAATACGTTCAAGCTCTCAGAGTATGATAGTTTTGACCCTTATATGTGATTTCACCGACTTAAGTTAAAGTTTCCTTATGAAAAGAGCATCACCCTTATATGGGTCAGTCTTACTGAGGTTAACCTTGTAGGGTCAGGGCAACTTCCAAATGAAGAGGAGGGGGTAATAGAGGTGGAACGGTAGGCGGTGGACTGGGAAAACCAGAACTGAGAAAATCAGGCAAAAGTTGGAGCAGAAAAGGAAAGAATGAAGGAAGTTAAAGATCGAATATGCTACCTGAAGAAAGAGATTACTCATTAAAATGAAAAGAGGTGTGAGACATAATATGTAGGGGGAAAGGAAGGGTATACCATTGTGTCCATGATCTTCTGAGGAAAAGCAAGATTATTTGGTGGATAAGTGTTTTGTTTTGTTTCTTAAATATGTTTTTACTGGTTTTAGAGAGAGAAGAAGGATTAGGAGAGAGAGAAACATTGATGTGAGAGCAACAGTTCCATAGGCTGCCTCCTGCACACCGCCTACTGGGGATCCAGCCTGTTCTGGCTGGGAATGGAACCAGCAACCTTTCAGTGCCCTGGATGGTGCCCACAAACTGAGACACCCAGCCAGAACAGAGGATAGGTACTTAATCATACAGGGTTCAGTACAAATAACTGTCATGTGGGCAGAGGAAAACTTGGTAGTTGAAAACAGAGGAAGGGGAAAGGTAGCCTCAAAGCTGGTGGGTGGAGAATGAGTAATAGAGTAGATACATAATCGACCATTTATAAGCAAAGGTGTTCTCAAGGTTGTTGTTTATACCCTGAAAGAACTCATTTCTGTAAATACTTCATAGGATTGCAGGCATCACAAATACACATATAAAAATAATGTTAACAGGAAATTTAAAATCTCAGATATTATTGGGAATCATTCATTTATTTTCTGTGATTGAACTTAAATTACTTTTTGAAACTAGAAGTTGCCTAACTACTTCAACTTTTCTGAAGATACTTTTAAAGGAAGACTTAAGAATGAATGAAGATTTGAAATAAACAATAGAGTATACATTTTAAGGCAATATAAACTTCTAATATTCTCACTGAAATTAGTTAACATAAATTCTATTGAAATATATATAAAGCTAATGGCTTTGTAAACCAGAGAGTTTCGTCTGGTAAAGGTAATACATTTGCATGTGTGTATAAATTTATGTTTGTATATAGAGAAATTGATAAATATATAGAAAGATTAAAAAAAAAAACTTTATATACATCCCCCTGGCTGGTGTGGCTCAGATGGCTGGAGCATAGTCCAGGAGATAGCAGGTTTGATTCCTGGTCAGGGCACAGACCCAGGTTGTGGGTTCGATCCCAGGCAGGGCACATGCAGGAGGCAACCAATCAATGTTTCTCTCTCTCATAGATGTTTTTCTCTCCCCCCCCCTCTCTCTCAAATCAATTTTTAAAAAAGTTAAAAAACTTTATATACATCATAAGTTTGAGCCCAATTCATGAAAGTCAGAAAGAACAGCTAGATTACTATATCCTAAAATGAATGAAGCCCAGTATTACTTTTTGATATATTTTAAATGATAAAACCAGACCAGAACTGCATATTAAAATTTCTAGGAAATTGAGTAATTAATAGTTTGTTTTAAGCAATTATTTTAAACAGTTTTGAGATAAAATTCATGTCATACAATGTCACTCATTTAAAGTATACAGTTCAATGGCTTTTATTATATGCACAGAATTGTGTATCCATCACTATAGTCCATTTTAGAATGTTTTCATTTCTTCAAAAAGAAACCCCACGTCGCTAATCTGTCTTTCTCCAATGCCCAGTTACCAGACCTAGGCAACAACTAATGTACTTTATATATATAAAGTAGATATATACAATATGTGGTCCTTTGTGTCTGACTTCTTTCACCTAGCATAATGTTTTTAAGGTTCATTCATGTTGTAGCATCTATCAGAACTTCATTTTGTCTTACTGCCCAATAATATTTCATGTGTGAAGATACCACATTTTGCTGACACATTCATTAGTTAATGGACATTTGGGTTGCTTATACTTTGATGTAGCTAATATGAATAATGCTGCTATGGACATTCATGTACAAGTTTTTATGTGGACATGCTTTAATATCTTGTGGTATACACCTAAGAATAAACTGGTGAGTCATATAGTAACTCTATGTTCAAACTGCCAGGCTGTTTTCCAAAGTGGCTACAGCATTTTAATTTTACATTTCAATCAGTAGTGTATGAGGGTTCCAATTTCTCCCCATCCTCACCAACACTTATGATCTGTCTTTTTTATTATACCCGTTCTAGTGTGTGTGAAGTAGCATCTCAGTGTGGTTTTGATTTTCATCATTCTGGTAGATAATTATGCTGAGTATCCTTTCAGGTGCTTATTGGCTATTTGTATATCTTTTTTTGAGAAATGTCTATTCAGATCTTTGCTCATTTTTAAACTAGGTTGTCTTTTTATTATTGGGTTGAAATAGCTCTTTATATGATTCTAGATACAATTTTTATCAGATACATGATTTATAAAAATATTCTCAATTCTATGAGTTGCCATTTCATTGTCTTGATGGTCTCTTTTGAAGAACAAAAGCTTTTAACTTTATGTTTAGTTTATGTATTTTTTATTTTATTATTTGTATTATTAGTGAGTAATGGCAGTTTTTATATGGCAACAATTAGCTTTATTACTTTAGTGTTTGAAGTGAACTATATGTTGGAATTCCATAATAATATTCCTAAATTAGCTATTTTTTAACTGTAATTTAAAGTAAAAGTGAGTAGTTTGATTACAAGTTTCAAATATATATTTTTTTATTTGGATGATCAAAATAGTCAAACATATTACACCTAATTCTTTTCAAATGAACAAATACTTAATAGATACCTATAGTAAACTCTGAAATAGGGTCATTCTGAGTTCTTTCAAGATGGGGCACTATTAAGAACAAAAATCTCTTGTGTGTTACAGTACAAAGGGTTTTGGATATTACTAAATATATAAACCACAAGAGGCCCGGTGCAGAAAATTCATGCACTTGGGGGGGGCCCTCAGCCCAGATTGCGAGAGGGCATAGGCCAGGCCGAGGGACCCCACTGGTGCACAATTGGGGCTAGGGAGGGATGTCGGAGGTTGGCCAGCCAGGGAGGGACCGTGGGAGGGCTCCAGGGTGTATCTGGCCCGTCTCACTCAGTCTCGATTGGCTGGACCCCAGAAGCAAGCTAACCTACCGGTTGGAGCATCTGCTCTTTGGTGGTCAGTGCATGTCATAACAACTGACTGACCGGCTGACTGTCTGCCCCCTAGTGGTCAGTGCACATCATAGCAAGCAATTGAGTGGCCTTAGCATATCATTAGCATATTACGCTTTGATTGGTTGAATGGCTGATGGGACATTTAGCATATTAGGCTTTTATTATATAGCACAACGTAAGATAGGTGTTATAAAGTGGGGAAAGTAAAACCCAGAGCAGTTAAGTAACTTGCCCAAGATCCCACAGCAAGGAGGTGGAATAATTTAACCTCTTGCCTATTTAACTTCAATGACTGTGATGGTCCTTAGCCCATTAACCATTCAGGAAACCCTGGTGACACAGGTTGCATCTAGTACTATAAATCTTAATGGGCTTGAACCACAAAACAGAGGAGCAGTAAAGTCATAACTGAGTAAAATTCCCTTCTTTCAGGTGTTGTGAAGAGAGATGCTGCCTGTGTATTGATGTAACTTTAAAAAGAAATATGATGACCCTAATTAAGAAGAAAAATTAAGTGTCTTCTCTTCAAAAACACACTTTGCAAGAACACAGAGTACCTGGACATTGGCAAAGTCGACACGGTTGAGGTCATTGAGCATCTGGTTAATCTGAGACGTGTTCTGAAGCACTGCACGAGCTGCCTGGGCCAGGTGATTGAGCGACGTGTATCTTCGCAGAGTCTGGGCAAAGGCACTTACAGCGGCAACCTGTACAGAACCAATTAAAATGGGATTCTTTTTTTCCTTCCAGTAACAGAAACCACTGCACATGCTCAAATCTTTATTCCCTTGCCAAATTTTAAATGCTTTCCTCTGATACTTATTTCACATTCATTTGGTGAGAGAGCTTACTTGTAAATTACAGCATTGAAATCTCTAAACCAAGTATTATTTTCTTTTGAGTGGGTTGAGGTCAAGACTAAAACAAATTCCCACATTCTTTGACATCTGAGTGCAGAATTAATTAAACCAGACTTACAAATAACTACTCATCCATGGCAAGAAATGACTTTCTCTGGGGAAGCAGGAAAAATATTGATTTTCTTTTTTTTCTCCCTACTCTCTGTAGGACAGTCAACTATAAACTTGGCAAATAATTTTTTTTAACTTGGAAAAGCAAACTAGAGAGTCCCTCTTTTTAAAATGGATAAAAATATATACTTTCCAGAGGAATGTCATTCATATTCACTCTTACTACCCTTTATTTTATAGAAATGGGTAATTTTGAGGTAAAACAAAAGAATTCATAGCCTTTATTAGCAACTTTGTAGCTAACAAACTTATCAGATACAGGCAACAAGAACTCTTTTCCAGAATATAAATTTCTGTAAAAGGGCTAGTCAGGAAATCTCCATTTGCCCTTCAAAATCTATTTCCCATCCTTATTGATGCTGCTCTGTGCTCAGGAAGATTGTCCTGAATGTACTTTAGTAACCACCTCCCTTACACCATGGCTTCCATTTGGCTTCCAATGATGGGCACTGGCAAAAGACTGAAAGATGGGAATAGAGTCAATAAATATTTATTCCCCCGCAATTTCTGTTCTCTCCCTGTTTTGGCAGAGACTGTTTTCCGTTTCTATGACCACAGTTCTGTAGCAAGAAGAGTATCTTAATGCCATGACTTTCACCTCTTTCCCTTCTAGATGTAGGCATGTTCAGGACTTCTCACTATTTTTAAAAATATATATTTTATTGATTTTTTACAGAGAGGAAGGGAGAGCGATAGAGAGTTAGAAACATCGATGAGAGAGAAACATCGATCACCTGCCTCTTGCACACTCCCCACTGGGGATGTGCCCGCAACCAAGGTACATGCCCTTGACCGGAATCTAACCCGGGACCCTTGAGTCTGCAGGCCGATGCTCTATCCACTGAGCCAAACCGGTTAGGGCAGGACTTCTCACTATTGCTACTCCTGAGGTACTTTACCATTCCTTTTCTTAACTCTGTTCACACCTTTGGAAGTAAACCCTTCTTAAACCCTCTTCAATTATTTTCCCCTTCAGATAGACCAGTGGTCGGCAAACTCATTAGTCAACAGAGCCAAATATCAACAGTACGATTGAAATTTCTTTTGAGAGCCAAATTTTTTTAAACTTAAACTATATAGGTAGGTACATTGTTATTAACTTAATTAGGGTACTCCTAAGCTGGCCTTTGCTAAAAGCGTCCTCAATCTGATTGAGGTACGTTCGCTGAGGTCGACCCCTTCCAACTCTCCCATCCACACTCGTCTTGTATACTTGTTTCGTCTATCTCCTTTCCGAAAACCGACTTCTGTGCATGGGCCACCGAGTTTCAATCGCACTGTACATGCGCGCCCGCACGTGGTATTTTGTGGAAGAGCCACACTCAAGGGGCCAAAGAGCCGCATGTGGCTCGCGAGCCGTGGTTTGCCGACCACTGAGATAGACCATTTGTCTCCTGCTGCAAACCTGAATGAACCAGGTTACAATGAAAGAGATTAAAGATAATGTAAAAAAAAGTCTAGATAAATATCTAAATCTCATACTCTTATAGAAACTTCTAACATGCACAGTAGATCTAATGAGCATTTACACATATTTATAGGAAAGTATGGCATGGCATTAAATCACTATGGGTATAGAAGAAACAACTGGGTGAATGATAGAAGGTGTTCACAGGTCAAAGGATGCTCTATTTTGATAATGAGATTTATAGGACTATGTGGATCTTTGGGGAAGTTCACATGTCCTCAAAAAAAAAAAAAAGAGATCTTACAATTTCCCCCCCATTTCTGTAGTTTATATTAGTCAAGTACATACTATATGTCAGGCACTGTGTTAAGTGCCTCTAGTATATTACCTTGTTCAATTCTCATAACCATCCTACTAAACACATATTATGAGTTAAACAGGTTAAGTAGTTTGTTCAAGGTTACAAAGAAACTATATTCCAGTGATTGGATATGTATGAGCCCAGGTGTTTTGATAACAATGGCCAGTTATAATCTCACTATTCTGTTCCCTTTGTCAGGGTAGACTGTCTTCATTAATTGAGTATTCAGCTAAAAAAATGCTACACATTAGTGAGAGAGAAATAGCAGAAGGTACCCTCCACTGAGGTAAATCAAATCAAATCTGGAGATCAATGAAATGACCAATACTGCAGCTAGATTTCTACCACATCCTTTGATGACACTGGGTAGGGAGTTGCTTTCAGCTGTTTGACATACTGTTATGAACAGGATTGACTTTGCAAGTTGGAAAACATTCCTCTGGCCAGCATAATCAAGTAGCACCCTCTTTGTTTTCCCACCTCGATGTGGTACTCTAGAACAGCATTGCCATGGAGCACTTTCTACAATGACGAAAATGCTACATACATGATGCCAAATACGGTACCCACTATCCACATGATGCTATGGAGCACTTGAAATGTAGTTAGTGTGACTGAGAAACTAAATTTAAATTTAAAATTCAATAACCAAATGTGGCTACCCCTACTGTATTGACAGCATATTCTAAGGTAAAAATCTAAGGTGAAATATCAATGAAATGTTTTTTTCTATATGTTTAGAATTAGAATGTATTATTGTGAAACTTTAGTAAAATAGGAAGAACTGGGAGCTACTTGTATTCCTAAATGAATCTGTCAGCTGCAAGAGCTGCAATCTATCAAGTATAGCCCCAAATTCAAAGATAATGTATGTTCTTGGGGTATGATAGTGGATATAGTCATTGACAAAAATCCAGAAGTGTAATTTTTGGTATCAAAGTTTAGACAAAATTAGTTCAATCCTGTCATGGGGGCATGTTCACAGATGAACCTAAAGTGACACAGTTAGTAAGGGACAAAGTGGAGACTAGAATTCATATTTCTAGATAAATAATGAGATAATTGTTCACTTTAAGAAGTGATTACTTGATTTACAAAAGCACTCTCCAGCATTTAAAAAATACACCAAAAACATCCTAAAAAATGTAAAAGAATATCAATTTACATGAACTTTTCACAACACAATGAGCATAGATGGGGACTTAAAGAGTCTAAAAATCCTTTAAATGGGAACCATTTGAACATTCTAGGCTATTCTTAATTTAATATTTGAAATTAAGCAATCTCAAATATACACTTTAAAAAGGGCTTATAAATACACATTTAAAATGCTTCTCTAGTCTTTTGAAAGGATTATTATCAAACATATCTTGTGCAAGTTCTTTATCACATTGTTATAAAATACAAATATAAAATCAATTTTAAAATTGTATATGTTATATTATCAACATTTTACATAGTGCTATTTCATAGGGCACATATAAAACTCATAGTCCAGAATAATTTCCTAAACACAAAAGAATATGCAAAGATATAAAAGTATACCTTGGTTTGTATCATTCTCTGTGGAATATTGTTCATGGCATTGGAAAGCCAACCTTCAAGGCTTTTTGCAAAATTTCGAATGGCTTGGGTCAAGGCACCTAAATGTTAAAGAATAAAGGCAAAATGAAAAAGATACAAAAGAACATTAATCTGTAAGCTAGATTAAGGGAAAACATGCATACACAACACATGAAATAGCACAGAACTTATATTGTCTTCACTGATGAGCCTTTATTTAACATTATTCCTAACCTTGAAAGAGTTTGAGAATTATATTTTGGGGGCTTTGTTTTTCCTTGCAAAGCGATTTTGTTCACAGATACTAATATGCTACTTAGTTGGGAAATGAAAACATTCAAACATTTTTACTTATAACAACATATACCAGTTGTGAATTTTCTATCTTAGACAAACACTTTTTATTTACAGCTCTGTGCTCAAAGCTATTTTCTTTACAAGTTCTTCATCTTGATTTTTCAAGTTCTTAACCTATTTTCCTTTTTTTTTTTAGTTAAAAAGAGGATCATGCAAAGCTTCCTCTCTTTTTCTAAGCCTCTATTTACATTAGAACATGCCAGCTAGAGTAGTTTTCTCTCACTCTTGCTGAAAAATAAGGTAAAAATTCACATGGCCTAACTTGAAATTTTGGATAACTATTCTCCATTTCACTTGGCAGGTAGAGATAAAAGATCAGTGTGATAAAATTACTGTCACAAAGACCAATATTCTTAAGATATTCCTAAATTAGTCCAGTCCATACTTTTCACACATCTGTTAAAACCTGAAATAGGGGTAGGTTCCATGAGAGTGGCTTTTCATGGTGGCCATAAAGCGATTGGAAGCATCTTCAATTATCAGGGGTGACTGACTATTTTACAAGAAGGGATCTGTTTACTGAGATTGCTGCATAAGAGAAGACAGAATTCTTCTCTTGTTCAACAAGTAATTCAGTCAATAGCATTTCCCTTCATCTGTGCCAAAGTGGAGGGAGCAGCTTTAGACACTTACTAAATATTTGAGGCATTCACAGTTAAGTCTTTGTGGGTTCCCTATCGTATGGGTAGGTATTACAACCGGTAGTCTACTGTAAGAAACAGAGAAGTTACATGTTTGTCCAAGGCTCCCCAAAATATTAATATTAATGATGAGATTAAGTTTCTTGGTTTTTCTCTTTGTGCTCAAATGAATCTGACATGCTTCTCTATTACTTTTGTTAAAGCGCAGTTAGACAATTACTTAAGTTACTTGCAAATGATATAAATATTACTAATCCAATAATAAAAACAACTATTTTTAGACAATGACTTATTTAACTGGTCAAATGACAAAAGAGAGACTGAAATGGCTAATTTTTTATTAGCAAAAACACTTGAGAAGTGCAGACCATGAGAATCATCTATTGGAAACACTGAGTTGGAAATTTGAGAACTAATCTTTTGAAATTTCCAAAGCTTCCCACTTTAGCCAAAAAAAAAAAAAAGACAGAAAAGTATTTTCCTGCTGCATTATGTACTAGAATCATGAAGGACAGGCATGAATGGACATGAAAAAGAGTGAAAATTAACGACGCTTTTTGAAACTCAGTAAAAGTTCTTGCAAGATTCAATTTGGCTATCTGTATTTGGCATTTTTCTAAAATTAGTATGTAACAACTATTTAATCTAAAAAAACCAAGACCCAGGAAAAGTTACTTTAAAACATTAATGAGTTTTACCTAGACAAATCTGATGCGAGGGAGATTATAAAAGATATATTTGTATATCAGATGATTTTTAGTTTTTACTTTTTTTATACTAAATGACATTTTGGGCCATCTTTAAATAGACCTAAAAATTGTACATTTAAGTATTACCAGTTGAGTTCTTATACAATTCTTTGCACTTAACTTTTTCTTCATTTTCAGATAAATGTATTTTAGAATATAGTAGCTTCAAGCTGACTTTAAATTAGTATGAGATGCAGACTATTTTTTGGCTAAAAAAAGGAATCCCATCTGGACAGTAAATGGTAGAGTGAAGTACTAGTAGCAACAAAATAACAATTTTTTAAAATAAAGTTACGTTTTCTCTCTCTATGGTTTCTGTCAGATCAAATTGTGCACATTAACTTTGACAACTGTTCTCATGAATGGATGTTTGAAATTTAAAATCTATTGCAAAGCAACTTGTTTCAACCCACTCATGATTAATATTAAGATGCATACAATCAGAAGATAGCCATCTAAACTCTATTTTAAGCTTTTTTTCAAGTCTTGTTATAGAAAGGGAATTAAATTTCCAAATTTACTTGGCGCATTAATGTATCTTGTAATTTCAGAGAAACTATGAAACTATACTTATGTAAAATTCCTGAAGTTGAGTTGTCTGCTGAATGTAGAGACAAAGTACTTGACAGAATAAAGTGGTTTTTAAATCACAATTTAAAAACAAAGGTCAAATGTATTCTGTATTTAAATGGTGGGGCTTACAGTTAACTAAAACTGATGCATGACTTAAGTTAGGAAACTGGAATTTATAAGTTAAAGTCTTGTGAGGCTAACATGGAAATTTAAGATTTTAGAGTTATTTCATGAATATTGATGTTGTTGATTTGCCTCAAAAAAGAAAGTGCTCACTGACATCTCTTCTTATATCTCATGAGAGAAATTATATGTGGGTGGGAAGATGTCTAATGGACTACCTATGCTACTTCTCTTAAACATCTTGAGAGATTATAACTCAGAGCACAGGGAGCGAGATGAAAACAAGGAAAATCAGATTCTGAAACATAAATCAGTAGAGAATTTACACACTGAAATTTTCCATGACATTATTTTTAATCAATGCTTAGTCAGGAACATAGTGCAGATAGAGTAGAAAACATTAGCAGTTGATAAAAATGTGAGACAATGGCAGTTGGATTTTTAAAAAATAAATTTCTATACAAATGTATGTATGTTCATTGATACTGTATGTAAATGTGTGTCTACGCATGTATTTTCAGGTGGTGAGGAACATATGAAGTAACTCATATCCTCCACTGTTATCTATCATATTTAGAAAAAAAGCAAGTATAAGTATACAAATGTTCATTCTTCACCTTTTGTTCTATTCAATCCCTAAATATTGTCTGGAAAAACTTAATACAAATCACCTGTGAATGGTGTACTTCAAGTACACGGTTGCCGATTTCACAAGCTGAAAGACTGCTTTTACCTTACTAATGTCACTTTAGAGTGGAACTTCTGTCCCTAGTCTTTAAAAGTTAAGGTCACTAGTATGTGCTCATGAAGATGTAAGTGTAAAATCATTCCAACTGCCGCTAACACAAGTATCCATAGTGGCATTTATATTGACACTTGCAGAAAATAGCTTTGTTTGCTGCAAGGTAGTGTAAAAAGCAAGCATCACTTAATCCAGCTTATCTATGTAATTCCTGTTTGCTTCATGGTGGGACTAAAATGCTTGCGTAGTAACATAGATTTTTCTCTCAAAATGCCAGTTAATCACTGCTGTTAAATGGAAACTGCATTTGTAGTTCAGAACATGATGTAGGTGACAAAGTAAATGCTTTTATAAAAGAATTCAACTTCAGTAGAAACCAAGATAAATTCATTTCAAATCAAAAGCAACCATGAAAGAAGCTGGCCTAGCAATTACAGGTTTCAAAAATTTTGGCTTTAGGGAGGAAACTGTGTCCTTGGATAGAATAATTTGTACGTGCTTGACTGGCCTGGGCGTGTTCTTGCAATTAGTCATTGGGCTGTCACATCCATAGGTTAGCTTTTCTTTCAAAAAGAAAACTACTAAAGATTGAAAACCAGATCATTGTTCCTCTTTTGCTACAGTTCTGCTCTAGGCTGCTTTCAAGCAATATTCTGTGTTGCATGTTTTCTATGTGGCAAATCTAAATGCAATTAGAATCCCTCTAGATTGCAATGTCACTTCCCAAAACTTCCTGGGTGGCATGTATGAGAACAAAAGCATCCGTACTTGTCTGCATTTAACTTACTAGGAATAGGTCTAAGGACGTCGGGGATGAGAATCTCCACCAAAGCCTGGTACATCCCATGGTCACAGTTACACATCCATTTCAGGATAGACTCATGTTTGCACAGAGTTATCAGCTTTGCTTTCGGAAGTCGACTTTCTATTTCACTCAGATTGCTGGGGTGAATAAATGTAGCAAATGAATAGATGGCAAATGAGGATAAAAAAGAAAATGGACTTTAAAAATAGTTTTAGTTTATCAAATATTACTGAGGTTAGAACTATACCACCATTGCATTGGTGCCATACAGCTGGATATATATAACATTCCCCCAGAGCTGCCTATGCACGTTAATACTTTCTGACGGTATGAAAGGCATATATGATACTAAATCCATGAGGATGAAATAGCTCTACCACAGTCCCCCAATGCAATAAAATGGGAGCTATTGTACACACGCTGAAACCTCCAGAGAGCAGTTTGTGGCTTATTTCAATCTATTCATTTAATGTTATCAGGTAGGGTTCACAACTGGTATACATATCTCTAATTTATTAACTGTGACATCTACTTAGCCATGAAAATGAACTGGAAAGTTTATTGATTCTGACCTTGATTCAGTAATGGTAGTGCCGTCAGTTGGAGTAGAGGGAGAATAGCGCCAGAATGTTTGCCACAATTTTTCTATCAGGCTAAACTGAAGATTCACAACAACGTCCAATATTGCCTAAGAAACAAAATGGTTATTGGTATACCTCACAATATTTCTTATGTGGAGGTGAGAGGAGAACATAATGTAAAGGGACTTAAATGGTAAAAATACCTTTGGGTTCATAACTTAACATGGTAAAACTGGACTAAATTGGGCCAATGGAAGTAGGGAAACAAAAGAGATTAGCTAGGGGGGAAAAAGGGGGAAAAAAAACTCTTAAGAGATTAGGCAGGATGACTGGTATCCCTCCCGTAATGGCCTCATATCTCACTCTTACTTTCACCTCTTTCCTCCCCCATGCTTGCGTCCCTCTTCTCCATTTTCTTCTCTTACTTTTCTTTCATTTTTTTCTACCCACGGCTTCCCTCTGCCTCCAGGGTTGCTGCCATTCTTCATATTCTCAGAGGGAAGGGCATAAAACATAGATTCAATTCACGTCAGTCCTCACTGAGCTGACTGTGTCCCCTGGCCATCAAAGAGGCCAGAAGTGAAGGGTGTGGGGGTGCTGGCGTGTGGCAGACAGAGTTAGGGCTAAAGCAGCTCTGTCGAAGGCTACTGACCATGGGTCCCAAAGTGTTCCCAGCTACGCAGAGGCTGGGTCACAAACTACAGTCAAGTCAGGAAGGCCTTCAGATGATCGCCTGCAGGGCAGAAGGAGAGTACAGCCAGCACCTCTCTTTGGTCACACAATGCCTCCCATTCAATCCTTTTCTGCGCATGCCCTTGGAGAGCAGCTTTAAGAACATCCCTTTCTATATATGGCGTCGGGGGCATTACCTTCTTAATTTTACCTCCTAGAGCCATTATCCAGCTCTAGGAGATTAATTTTATTTTGAGGATGGTAAAATTTGCCACTTCCATTAACTTCTGATGATCATATTTAGTTTTGCCCTGCCCTTGCAATTAGTTTATAAATTCACCTTCAGATAAAAGCAGTCAAAAATAAAAGAATAACTTGTGCAAAGAACACATGATTCTGTGATTATTTTGAGCATAAAAGACAGAAGTTGTCAATATAGTGTGTTTAATGTCCTCAGCATTGAGAATGAGGACAGCTGCCCAGTCAAGATCTACAAAATGCGCATAAGCTAAGTGACAACAGAGGAAAACTGGGAGTCAATCTAAGGATTTTAGGCAAAAAGAAAAAATATAACGTTATAATTCTAAAGGCTATGCTACCTGTGTAGACTGACCTTATGTATGATACAGAGAATAAATGATGATCTACACAAAAAACTCTGAAAACAATTCAAATATTAAGCAAAATCTGCTTGGGGCATATTCTGGGAACTAGTAGGAAAAGCTCCAAGTAGTTAGTAATGAAAATGGAGGGAAGGGGGCAAATTAGAAAATGGTGTAAAATTCAAAAGGTTAACGTACTCTTCTTCACCCTTTTATATCAGCAATAATAAAAATGCAAGTGCAAGCCCTGCAAATAAAGGGCGTATAGATGTCCCTCCTCCCAGGCAAAAACTAAAACCTTCTCAAGAGGCAGGTAAAATTATAGCTGCTTTCTCAACTGTAGCTTAGGCACATTGCAAGAGAGGTCTATTAATGAAGCAGCTATTAATATCTCACATAATACCTTACATATTTATATCCATGAGATTGCTGTAAGAACACTATGTGTATATTAAAAGAAAAAAAATAGTGTAGCACCCTGTGTAGAAAATTATACTTGTTCCTTACCTAAAACTTGTGATACTTACACAATATCTTTGATAAACAAATCATGAGAATTCTAAATGATAGGCAAAATAGGTATGTTAAGCTTTCTTTAAAACACAAACTGTAGTAAACATGATATAAAATAAAGCAAGTAATTCAGTGCATCTTAAATTTAGTGACTCTTAAGTCAATCTCAAATGCCTTCAAAAAGGACATTCTTCGCAGTAGCCTCTTGAGGCGGTTTTACAAATGAATAAAACACGTATCCTTTGTCCAATCACCCATTTTCAAATATGTTCATATTAAAATACATATCAAGTATATTTTAAAATAGTCCATATTATATTGGCTTGGAGCAAATGACTCATGTATCTGTACTTCAAAAGTTTGGAATTTTCACAGAAAAAAATAGAATTCTTCTTTTTCATATTTGCTCCTATGCTCCATGGGTGATGGCAAGAATTCTGGTAACTCTGAAATAAATTGGGCTCATTCTATAGACTGCACACATATTAATCATCATACATGTCTATCTCTCTTCATATAGAGTAATCCTACAAATAGAAATGTTGATGAAAATTTTGTAACCCAAAGAATATTTTCATTTTATTGGGGGAGGTTTTCACTTAGAATAATCTTACTATATATTCTTTAGTAATGTAAATAATATTGCTCCAACTTATACTTTGAATAAGTATGAGAAACTTAAAGAAATACAAATTATATTTGTGTAGACTGGTTTGCTTAAAGCAAGGTTCAGAGAGTACACAGAAATAAGAAAATGGTTAGAGAATCTTCATATATATGATATACATGTAAAAAGAAATTTTCCCTAGATATACAAGTATCATCCAAAAATTCCCTAATACTAGGAAAAGCAGTAGTCAAAGAGAAACATATATTGTCTTTCATCATTGCAAGAAATGTTGGGAACAGATTGGCAGGATATGCTGAAAACAATGTGGTACATGGTTTTTTAATAAAGAGAGAGCTTGCCCTTGGTTGTTAATAATCTAGCACCCTTGACAAGCACTCAGATTTATTCAAGCAGTTCTTATTTCTGGAGAATGAAAAATCTGTGAATGCTATGAACTGCGACTCCTCACTATACTGCATTGTCAGCAGTCAGGAGGACAGCCTGTGAAATCTAAAGGATTATCTTTTACTTATAAGTAGATCATAGATAGCCCTGGAAGAAAGCTACCTAAATACTAAACAGACTCCTCTTTCAAAAGGAAAGGCACTTATGAGAACTCTCCTTGTAATCCATCATTCCCTCAGTACTAAGTGAGCCGCAGGTACATGTCATGCCTCGGAGAGAGTTCCCCTCCTGGAGACCATGTAGCCACTTCTGAGGTGGGATATTCAGAAAGGGATAGGAGTAGGGATGCAAAATACCAAGAGGAACTTTACCACAAAAACAAAACTGGAGCCTCCATGATCCCTGGAAGTGCTTTATTTACAGAAAATATTTTTGATAGAAAATGGTGTAAAATTCAAAAGGTAAAAAAGGTGCATTGAAAAATTAGGGCTCTTTCTCCTGCCACCTAGTCACCCAATTTCCTTTACAAATCAACCACCATTAACATTTTCAAGTTTATTCTTCTGGAGAGATGTATATACATGCTGTTTTTTATTCAAATGATAGTATGCTATACACACTGCTTTGCATCTTGCTTTTTTCCTTTGAAAATAAATTATACGTTTATTCTATATTAGTGCATTTAGACTTGCCTATTCTTTTTAATGGCTGCATAATATTTCACTTTATAGATTATACCATATTTTATTTATTTAGTTCCCTACTAGATATTGAAGTTATAACCAACCTTTTGCATTGAAAACAATAATGCAGTAAATTAGTTCCCTTGTGCACTTATCTCTTCATCCATATGTAAACATGTTTTCTAGGATAAAAACCTCGAAGTAGAATGCATCAAAGGATTCATTAGAATAGGCTAAGAAAATGGACAGTAAAATTCATTATCCCTTTCCTATAGTCCTCACCTTTCTACTCTGAGATAAGAATATAAATTAACTTATAGGTGCTCAAAGACATACGAACTAACTTACATGTCTCTTAGGAGTAAGTCTGGTTATTGTGCTTTGGTAAGTTGGCTAGCACAACTCAGCAGGGGGTTGTACTATGTCTGAAAAGATTTACCTCACAGTGCTCTCGATAAAGACTCTGCAGTGACTTGATATCCTCAAAGGTAGTACCATCTGGCAGAGAAGAGATTTCAACTTCTCCAAACTCTGGGAGTGCTCGAGATGCATCTGTTACCAGGACAACACAACAGAATAAAGCTTTGTGGATGGTGCCAATTACAGATTAATGAAGGAAAGTTTAAGAAAACTAAAAAGGAAAAATAAATAAATAAAAAGATCAGAGGCCCAAAGAGCAAGGATTTTTTATATTACTACTTGCAAGCAAAACTTGGCAACATCGTTAACTCAGAAGAATAGAGGGAACATAAAAATTTTGGAGAAACTAAATTTTCACTATTACTATATCACATCATAGTGTCTTTTAATATAAGGCATATATATATATATATATAAATATATATATATATATATAAATATATATATATATATATATATATATATATATATATATATATATATATATATCAAGTTGCCAGAATCAATTTTGGTTATTTTTACTATTATGTTACTTAAGCATGTAAAAAATCTAGCTTTAAACTCATTATGCTCAAACTTCCTATATAATTATAAACCACAAACCTACAAAATAAAGACAAAGAAAACTACAAGAATAACATTAAACTCAACAACATGAACTTGATGTGATGGATGATGCTGTTGTCCTGTATGGAACATGATTGAGGTACTGACTGCTGTGGCACAGGAACTTTTGAGTTTGACACGCTTATACCAACAGGTACTTCCTGGTGGCTGGACCTCCCATTACTTTTCTATATTCAAATGGGCTGTGAAATGTTCCTCCACACTGAGCACTGGGACAGCATTTAGCCTTCCCTGGGGATGAAGGCGTAATTTACATAGTAAGTCTCTGTTCTTTTCTCATAGCTCTTATTAATGCAATACACTTTGGAGTCTGCCTTATCATAAATTCAAATACAAACGTGGAAACTAAAATTACAGAACAGTATTCCTTCTTGTCTTCTAGGTGATCCAGAATATGCTTTTATTTTTTTTTAAAGATAATAGTTGAAATAAAAAGATGAAATAAAAAAAAATTCTTCTTGAGAGCTCAAAGGCCCATAAGAATATACCTAAGAATTTTAGTTTGGGAAATGATGCCATGATATTTTCAACTTCTCCAACTTGTCTTTCTCAGAAAGTGCACATAGACACATAAACACATACAGACACATACACACACACACTCTCTGACAGCTTCTACTCATCTTGTTTATCTGCTGTACAGAAATTATGCATGTTCATCACTAGAAGAGTTTTCAATTAAATTAAAGTGCCATTTTTGCACCTTTGGCTATTACAAGAAGATGCAAAATGATCAAGTTCCACTTCCTAACTCTTTAAATAAAGAGAAACATGTATATCATCTATGATTTAAAAAAAATGAAGTGTTGTGATCTAGTTAAAAGAATAAATTACTTTTTAAAAGCTTATAACTTTTATTCTAATCTGAGGCTGTATGCACATTTAACTTTATACATAGAAAATAATTCTTTTTGGAACTTAAGTTGCTACTGAAATATAAAAAACACACAACACAATTTTTATTAAAAAAAAGCCCAATTAATACAAATTCTGAAAAACAATTTCACAGCAAATAGCCTTTAATTTATATACATTTAGAAGTCCTACATAGCTCAAGAGTTTTAAAAATAAGCTTTAGTGAACATGAGAAAATAGAAATGAACTGGAAATGTCATACAATGTGCGTAGTTTCAGCACACAAAAAAGTCTTTCTATTTGGTTAACGTCTATAATAGAAATCTCACTTGAAGAAAACACTACTATTGTTCTCTTGTCTTCAAAATCCTAAAAGCAACTAATATGCATTACACCTTAACATACCTAAAAACTGTTGATGATGTTGACTTTGGGCAATTACAGTTTGCTCAACAGATGTGCCTGTCTGTTGACCACTTCCTGTGAAACCATCTGCAACCCCATCCACTTTCTGCATAGGCTTGTACCTAAAAATATTAGATGGGAAAAAACAAATAAACCAAATTATTCCTTGCTTTTTTGTACTGCACAAAACTCCCAAGGCATTCAATTTTATCCTGTCTTCTTTAATGTTTCATGATAGGTTGGATAGGATTCTTTTCCCTTGACAGTCTCATAAAGCTAAAGTGAAGAAAGTTTCTCAATTGTGAAAAGAAAAAGGGGGAGGGGCTAGGAAGAAGACCCATTTTTGAAAATTCAGAAATCTACCTAAGAAAGAGTTTAGAGGCATTTCTTTGGACACCAACGGCAAAGATGTTCCTGGTTATAGTTTTAATGATTTGAATATAACTTTTAATGGCCAATGGGTCAAGGTAGAAATTCTTTAATTATGTTGAGATTTTAATCTAAACAAAGATCTAGGCGGTAGGGCCTGAGCAATGTTGATGAATGGCTTTCAATTTATTAATATCTCTAAAATATGAATCAGCCTATCAACTCTACCATATCTTCGAAAGCCTCCCATGCATCTCAACACATTTGTCTCCCTTAACTCTTCTCCATATTTGCAAACAGAAAAACCCTAAGTATCAGCTTGCAGCAAAATACATGCAAGAATCCATGTATAAGCCTAATTTACCAAATTAAGAAAAAGAAACCCTAAAGTCACCTACAGTTCTGTATTTATCTTTAGGTTCTAGTAATAGAAACTCATGAACTTTGCATACTGCTAAGAAATAAAAAAAAATGTTTCAGTAGCATGGTCAAGAAGGAAAGCCTGCTTGGAAGACATAAAAAATATATTAAAAACTGGGCAACCCTGCTAGGATAAACAAATACAAAATAAGAAATAAGCATCAGCCCTAGCTGGTTTGGCTCAGTGGATAGAGCATCAGCCTGCTGAATGAAGGGTCCTGGGTTCGATTCCAGTCAAGGGCACATGCCTGGGTTGCAGGCTCGATCCCTAGTAGGGGGCGTGCAGGAGGCAACCAATCAATGATTCTCTCTCATCATTGATGTTTCTATCTCTCTCTCCCTCTCCCTTCCTCTCTGAAATAAATAAAAATGTATTTTTAAAAAAGAAAGAAGCATCAACCCTAATTTTTCTTTTTCCAAATTTTTTTAAGATTTAACTTATTTTATTTAATAAATTTAGAAAAACTAAGAAAAAATTGAGATTTATGTCCTAGAGATACCATCATTCACTTAGGATGTCTGTCCTTCCATTCTTTTTTCCCCCTCATTTCCAACTATACTTATAAACAAAACCACCTCCAGACATTTGACTCTTACATTAATACCATAATGCAAGTGGATCATTAATATGAATATTGTGACTAACAATGTCCATAATACATGAACAGGATATACTCAAAGATGGCAGCAGATATAGAATGAATGGACCTGGTGAAACATCATACAAACTAATGCTTTAGTTGCCTTAAAGAATGATTCAATCTTGAATGTTATTAATTATAACTTAGATAAATGAAACTTCAAAGAAAAATTGCAAAGTCATTCCTAATGATATTTATATTTATTTCTTATATGACAAAAATAAAGTCAGAAGATGAACAAAGTGAAAAAAGGGTAACAATACTTCATCCTTATTATCACTTTAGTGATGATTCCACATCAGCAAAATGTTGGTTGCTATTTTCTAATGATATAAAAGAACTCAAACATGTTCTTTTATTTAATGGAAAAACCATTGGAAAGTACTTTTCAATTGGTTCATACCAAGAAGTGGCAGAAGGGATAGTAATGTGATGTTCTAGAAATGCTGTTTATGAAAAATGGAATTTTTTTCATTTATTTTCCTCCTTAAAAATTATCTTAGCCAGGCAAAAAATCTTTCTGAGGCAAATACTTTGAGTACTTCTGTGGGGAAGTTGCTAACCATTCATTCTGTCTAGAAAATTTGAATGATTTTATTCTTAGTAAATAAATTTAACAGAGTTTCCTGTCCTCCTTGAGCCATCTCAGGTGTCATTTGATTTTACCCTCCTTTTACCAGCTATGAAATTTTATATTTTATATAAAATAGGCTAAAATTGCTTAACCATGTTTCTTCATTTAAGTTAATTAAGTATGGCATTCACAGAGTTAGTAAACAAAAGTGGTTAAAGGAATTTGAATTATTTACTCTGAAGAAGAGAAAATGGAAATGTTTCCTATACTCTGAAGAAGAGAAAATGGAAATGTTTCCTATAGAATTCAATATATTAAATTTTAACATAGGATTAGTGAGTAATTATGAGATCCTTCACAAATGCTTAACAAATTTCCTTTGTCCTTCACAAATGGGCACAAATATCAAGGACAAGTGGAATTTAACCATAAAATAAAAGGAAATGACATATTTCTTTCAGTCTGTGAGTTTTCAGAGAATGGATGCTATGTCACAACCTTCTTGCACACAGTACTTAGCAAGCCTGCAAGCTTACAAGTAAAATTATCTGCTCCCTCAGAAAAATGTAGACATGAACGTTCCTAAGGGAAAGAGAGATTATATTTTTAACAAGCACTCAAAATCATAATTCATTATAATTAACGCATGATTATACATAATAATAATGATATTGAGTGGGAAGCATTGATTATATGTACAGTGTATTACACAGGAGATGAAAAATGCATCAATATTAGTTTATGGGGAAAAAGAAAATTAGTTGGTAAATTCTGGAGAAATGTTGCAGATCAGTACTTAAATACAAAACTTATATAGGAGATGCAAAGAAAAAAAAGAAAATAGAACTGAGAAATTAGTGTTTTTATTCTAATCATAAAATTAAGGGTAGCAAGGTAAATAGTGGATTAAATGGATCAGGCAAAGATGCACTACGTGTATCCATTCTTGGTTATTCTGTCGATAGGCTCTTTATAAGCCAGAACATTATGTTGTACTTCCTCAGAGAAAGGTATGGGGATAAATTTGGTAGGGGTCTGTGCCATAAAGAATGACATCAAGAAGCACAGGAGTATGGTTTATGTACAAGAGCAGTATTAGTGGGAGCTAAATATGAGACAGCTTCCAGGTAGTGCTAACTTTAGCTTTTCCTGCTTTAACTACTAAATCATGTGGTAGAACAGTGTATTGTCTGGCATTACATTGGTACTTAGAAGGAATTCCTGGAAATCACAAATATTGGACTGAGGAAAGCTAGATGTTCATATTCCTGATGCTCTAAGAAAAAAATCCTATCCCTGCCATCACCTTAGAGGGTTGGGTCTTCCCAGAGGAAGATGGAGTTTAACAGGAAGTCAAGAATAGGAACATTAAAAATAGACTAAACAAATATCTGTGGTAACTGATTCTGCTTGGAAGAAACAGTTATAGATATTACTAGAGGCCCGGTGCACAAATTCGTGCACCAGTGGGGTCCCTCGGCCTGGTCTGTGGGATCGGGCCAAAACTGGCTCTCAGACATTCCCCAAGGGGTCCCAGATTGCAAGAGGGCACTGGCCAGGCCGAGGGACCCCACCGGTGCACAATTGGGGCTGGGGAGGGACATGGGAAGTTGGCCAGTCCGGAGGGACCACGGGAGGGCTCCAGGGCATGTCTGGCCCATCTCTCTCAGTCCCGATCGGCAGGACCCCAGCAGCAAGCTAACCTACCAGTTGGAGCATCTGCCCCCTGATGGTCCGTGCATGTCATAGCGACTGGTTGACCAGTCGACTGTCTGCCCCCTGGTGGTCAGTGCATGTCATAGTGAGCAGCTGAGCGGCCTTAGCATATCATTAGCATATTGCACTTTGGTTGAAAGGATGACCGGACACTTAGCATATTAGGTATGTCAGTATCTGGGTAGCTTTCCATAAATTTCAAATGATAAACTCATGCTAGGTCAACCCAACAAAATCCTGGGAATGGGGTTTAGGAATTGAATCTTTTAATAAGTTCTGAAATGTTTCTTAAGGAGCCTGCACAGCACCAGCCCATAGGAGCCTCTTGGCCTGATATAAATTCCTTCAGCCCACTTCTGTAGAAGTATATCTCTAACATTAGAGATAAGCCTTTTTTTAATAATTGTCATCAGTTTTCAATAAACTGCATGTGGAATATAAGTAAATACCTCTGAATGTATGGTGAATGCATAAATGAATGCTCAGAGTAACGTATTTCATTTTACATACTATTAATTGATCTTAACATATATCAAATCAATGTAACAAACATTAATTGAGCATTTACTATAGGCATATAGGGGAATGGATTTGAAAAGGCTGCATATAAATAGAATTTTTCCAGCACAGTTTTTTTATAATCTATTGATTTACATGATAATTCAACATTCTCTTAACTCTAGTTGAATTTCAACTGACGTCTTAGAATTGAAACAATCATTTTCAGGTTTCCTGTCTCTACCTTTTTCATAAAATTATCGCCATTTAAATTATAAACTGTAAAAACCAGAGGTACTTTTTACTGAAAAAAAATTGTTGAATCCTTTAAAAAACAAAACAGCTTAGTAATCTTTTAAACAACAGAACTCGCTCCCTTTTCCCATTTATTTTACAAGTGCATTATTTTTAGATTAGGCTTCCTTATAGTAGATTCTTAGCACTCCCTAGTTGCCTGTACTCTGAGAAAGACCTGTGCTGCAATCTAACGAAGAAACAGCTCTTGGTTTCAAAGTCAGTGAGAGGCAAATGATAATTTTAACAGCTTGCAACTCCATGGGCAATCAGAGCTAAAGTTGTTAATGATTAAGAAATCAAAGAAACTCTAATGCTTTAATAGCTGAGTGCATGCATGAAACCTGTCACTAACACAGAAAATCTGGAAAATTATTAGGAATCTTTCACCATGGGGTTAGTCTTAGCTGTTATTTAGAACTTGGACAGCTATAACTCTACTGTAAAATAATATCTAATTCTGTCAATAATTTCACATGGACAGACACCGGAGGAGTCCAAAGGAAGGCAAAGAACCACTGCAATGAACAGTACCAGGTGGAAGGACTTTCAACAGACTAAATGGAACATTTGGAAAAATACCTTTGAAGTGAAAAATGCAAATGCAAAA